GTAGGTATCTTCATGTTTTGTGTTTGGAAAACCTCGTAAAACATTCAATACTTGCAGGCTGGTACAGTCTGCGTTTATTGGAGGGTGACTGTCACATATTTTAGTCATTGTTTTAATTATTAGGACCAAGAACAGCCAAAGTATACACGCTGTTGTAGACGAACAGAGATACTGGAGATTTAATCTGCCCTGACTGAGCCCCCCTGATAACCTCAGCCCAAGTTAACCTCTGGGAACCTCTCTGGATACACGGATAATACGTGTTAGTCGGATCAGTTCACTTTTGGTTTTTGTCCTTTGACGGGATTTGATGACCAAACAGAAAATAGCACAACTCTTGTCGTTTTAAATACACATATGAGTGAGAGAAACGGTATGTTTTGCTTGAGATGCTTCCCAAAACTGAAGTGCCAAAGCATGATTCACAGATGAGCATTGACTTGTCTGAGCCGTGCTTTCAGTGTGTCAGACCTGCGTTCACCTCGGCTTTGTTTTCTGTTGTGAAATCTCTCCCGGCTCGACTTGCCGAAGCCTGCAGACGCTCTGAGCCTGTCAGGACTCAGCGGGAAGCTCGGTGGAAGCCAAAATCCTCATCAGGTGTACGAGCCAGAAACAGCTCAGTCTGAAGCGATTACAAGAAATGCAGCGGCTATAAAAAGTGTTCACTCCCCTTGTAAGACTTTTGCTTTTGTTGCGATCACGGTCAGTCACGGTCATTCTCCTCTGTTGACAGGAATTTTCAAAAAAAGACTCTTTNATGAAGTGGCAAAAAACCAGTTGTAGCCTGATGGGGACGACTTCATTAGCATCACTTCATATCACGCTTCATGTGATGTGACTCATCGCAGTGTTGATGGTAAAAAAACGATAAATGGACCAAATGTTACTGTGAATAGGACGTCACAGAATAACTGCTGAACCTGAGAGCAAAGTGTACATCACCTATCTCTTCATCTTCTGTGATTTCACCCCTCTGATCCTGTAAACACGTAAAACTGCTGAATTTATAACTGCCTCCATAATTCCTGAGCAGGAAACACACAGAAGGACAAAACCTAAAGGACCTCCGTTTGTCAAAACACTGGCAGTAATTTGTGTTGCGTTTACAGAAATATGGCAGATTGGCAGAGGATTAGGATCCCAGATGATCTGTGGAATTATTACAAATTACTAGAAGTAATCAGCCGAGGCTTCAGGTATTATAGATCCTTTGTAAAGGAGGATAAGATGGCGTGTTGGCTGTGGTTTAAAATAATCAGGCTGTCTGTCTTTACATCAACAAAACATAGAGCAGCATTTCTCCACTTTACTAACATGTCTGCTGTTTCTTTCTCTGCAAAGTCTTTAAAAATATATCACAAATGTATAATTACACTTTTGAAAAACTCCTAAAACGGCTGGATATCCTAGTTTTTAGGGAACATCAGCCACACTCTTGGACTTTCTACAGGTTTCTGACTTTAGTTCCCATTTTCTCAGTAATAAAGAAACAAACATAAAAACAAGAAGGAAGTATGTTGGCTTAGTTTTACGCTGATATTTTTCTAACAGACAGCAGAAAACAGAGGAATGAGCAGGAGGTTAAACTCAGATTTTTAATGTTGGTGTTCAAATGGGCAGCAGAGCCAGGCCATGTATTGTTGCATTCAGTCGAGTTTGAAGGAAAAAGGTTCACATGTAAAGTCCCATAACACTGTAAGACCCCAAATAAATAACAATAATCAGCCCAAATCTGCTGATTGTGTAGCTGACAACAACTTTTCACTACTTTAATACCTCCTACAAATGTTGAAAATTCATGTGAAGTGATCATTTATCTGAGAACGTAACTCGGCTGCCTGTTGCCATATTTCAGTGGTTTCTTCAGTGATTACTTGTAG